GGAAAGAGGACCATGCAACTTGTCACACGGGCAGTCATGCCAATGAACTGTCCATTCACATACCTGGCTGGAGTTACACCGCAGGTGAGTCATGCATCTGTCTGCAGGAGGGTAAGCGGTGTAAATGCTCTGCCAAGGTGGGTATCGAGTTTCTTCTACATAACTTATGGCAAGAGGCATTGCTCAGGAGAGTCGCTTTAATCTCCTCTGCTGATAGCTCAGTGTTGATGTGCAATTGGATACATTTTCTTAGATGAAACTTCTGTACTTTATAAGAGATTCTTTCCCTCAATTTCTTGTTTCTGACAGTAGTTCCAAATCATACATAATGAGTAAGACACAATAGCTCCGAAGAAGTTAATTTAGATTGTGCCCTCATCACATTCCAAAACAGGGTGAGGAGAACAAAATGCTGTTCACCCCCAGATGTTTTGTCTCTCTGGTGCCAAACATCTGTATATTTGGAAGTGTCTAGAATTCTGTAATTTTACTTTTTAATCACATAGATGATGTTTGTGAGTTAACCTCATAAGTATCATAACTACTCAGACACAAAACCCCATAATGGAGTGTATGGGGTGTGTGTGTGTGTGTGTGTGTGTGTGTGTGTTAATTATAAAACATTTTCTAAATGAGGCAAGTCAGTGACTCACCATGCCAACAGCAGTAGCAGCAATTTTCTGTCTCCCTGGTTTGTCATCTGGGGGCAACTCAGGCAAGATTTGGTACTGTTTCTGCTATTTCTAATGCCAGGCAGAATTCCCAAGATGGCCTTCCCTGGGGACCCTTCACCTGTCTTGGAAAATCAGGGGAGGAAAGGATAGATTTTTCAAGGAGGAAGGTCATCAATTTTTTTTCCCCCTCTGTATCAACTTCTGATTTCTAGCTTTACTTACTGTGAGAGAATCTGGTTTATGAATTAGTGACTTGTCACTTGGGGACAATATTTAAAGATAATAATAGTAAAACTGAAAATATAGCATATAGCATATGCATAATAATTTTATGCTTCAATTTTTGTCCATTAAAGCTTTATTAATGAATAAAATGACTATAAAACATTTGAAACTCTAACTTGCATAGAAATATTAAATGATGTAATTAATTTTAACAAGTGTATATGTATTGAACGCTTAGAGGGTTTTTTTGGGCAATTTGACATGGCTCTCAAATTGATTAAACCATTGAAATGACTGAGTTTTAGACTTACTGCAAGCTGGAAAATATCAGCAGCCATCAGTGTTCTAAATATAAACCCCTCTTTAGGGTGTAAAGAAATTGCCCAAGCTAAGTATTTTATCTTCCTTATTGATGATTCCAGAACTATACAACCTGCACGGTTGTATGCTACCCCAGTTGAAGCACATCCTTGTCTTTACACTGTGCTTCATGATGTGAACTAGTCATTTGGATTTATAGTGCTTTTCACCAAAGGATCTTTAGAAATAACTAGAGCCAGATCTGAAACATTCATCTCAGAGGAGAGGAGCAAGAGTAGAAAAAAGTCCCCCGCTTATTTTGGCTTTGGTGCAGAAAAGATTTTTGATTGTGACTTCGTAAAATGACTCCCGTAAAAGAATTTTCTTAGGCAAATAGTATAAGTTTATTCTACTCCCGGTGGGTCAACATCCCTCAGAATAACCATATTTCCCAGAAGATTTACATGTGGAAAACTTGAGTAGTTCTAAATCCTGCAACCTCATTCTACCATTGAAAGAACAAGATTGTCACAGAAAACAAGGAAATCTTGAACACTTTCTCTACAGTTGCCGATCTATTATTTTCTAGCTCAGTGAATGTGGACAAGTGACTCTAATTCTCTGAGTTTACTTACTCATCTGGCTAACTAGAGCAGAGAGTGAATTAGGTGCTCTTGAAAGTCCCTTTAAACTTAAAAAAATTTCTGCTCTATTTGCCTGAGATGGAATCTGTACAGGAAAGAAGTTCCATGCCACTCTGGGCCCTGCAAACATAAATTCCTAGGCCACAGAACCTTGAGGGTCTACCATTTAGAGCACATGCTCAGGTATTTATAAATGCATACTCTCATACACAGGCATCCCTGTGCTTGTATGCTCTCTCAGAAACTAATTTTCAGTGTGCTGTATTTCTTCCCAGGTGACAAGAAAGCACTTCTACCCACACTATAGAATTCTTACCTCAACTGTGTAAGTACAACTCATTGACTGTAACGACCACAGTCTGTCCTAGTACAAACCTACGCAATGTCTCAAGGGTGGGCTTGCTGACCTTCAGTCTTGACAAGGCTTTTTAGCCTTAATGAAAGTGCTTTCAAACCATGGCGATGCTCATTACATCTCAAAGAAACTGTTTGTATTTTCCTGTCTGAAACTGGATTCTTCTCTGAAACATTCTTGACAGCCTCCTGTGGTTACACAGGCTATTAGCAGTCTTCATACTTCATGGCTATGGAATCTGAATCTTTTATCTGAAGGACTTTAAAATCTCTCATGAGCAGGGTCCTCTCCAGGCTGGCTTACTGACATTCAGCTGCTTCCTAGGTACTGCCTGGTAGAGTCTAAACAGAGACAATGCGTTTTTAGTCATAGTCATTAAGTCATTGGACAGAAAGTCTTATACATTGTATTTTTTAAAAGAATTATGTATTTATTTAATTCCATTTGATCTTATTAGTTTTTAATTTGACCAAAGAGAGACAAAGAGAGAAAAATGGAAAGGGAGAAAGCAAGCCGTCGGGTCTGGGACTCAAAACACAATCATCCACATGGGAATCCAGTGCCTTTAGTCACCACACCAACTGTTGGCCCTCTACAAATCGTATTTTTGCATGAGCCTCCATAACATGCATTAAGAAAGATGACTAAAATTAGGGAAAATGGGATATTTACAAGCACTTTGTGCAATCCAGATAGGTCTATTGCCATGTGGCATTCCAATAGATACATGAGTACCTGTTCTTGCAAGAGCTGAGCACTTAGGAATTGGTTTCTTTTTTGTTCATCTCCTTGGATCTGTTTGTTTTACCTTTACCTTCCTGTTGTTAATAAGCATCCTGCAAGCACCGCATTGGTAGGTATACAAATTCTAGTATGTATCATAAAAACTGTTTTCATCATTATTATTGTCATCACAACCATTATCATCATCATCCTCTTATCAGTAACTATAGCCCACCAGGCACCATCAATTATTTTGAATTATTAAACCATTCTGTAAGGGAGTATTAGCATCCATATTTTGCAGATGAGACAAATGAGGCTTGAAGATTAAATGATTTGTCCGAGTCCACATAGCCAAGTGCCAGAGCTAGGTATTTGGTTTCTGTTGTGCCCTTCACAGTAGAGCAATTAGGATGGTGGTGTCTCTCTTAAGAGTGGGCCCTATCATCACTCTCACCATTGAAGGTGTTATTTGAAGACTGTTTATGGATATATGAAATAACATCAATATTTGGTGGCTGGTAGACTCAATTAAGAGAGTGAGCTACAAGTTAATTTCTGATGGACTATAAGAAGCTGTGTCATTTGATATAGTTAAAATGTATTGGCTCAGGCCAGCTGCAGTGACACAAGTGTAACAACTCTCCACCATGCTAAGGCCACATGGAAATGTCTCAGGTTCACATTCTGAAGGCTCTCTGTATATGTCAGGTGCAGTGAACATGTGCCTATTACCCTGGCTGTCTGCGGCCAGGGGTGGATTGTGATGTGAACACTCTGTTGGGAGTGTCCCCATCCCCTGTCTCTCACTGATGGAAGAAATAAATCAACTTAAAAAAAAATTGGCTCAGAAATCCTTCCTAGTCTGATATCTAGTTCTTTATGGTATTTAGTATTGATCTGAATGGTTCTCTCCTCACTGAATATGCATGCTTGAAACACTATTGACTTGGATACATTACTCCTTGCCCATTTTATATTGCATTCATGGCCTAGGTCTCTCATCTCTGAGACATTGAATAGATAGAGCAAAATCTTTTGATGTTACTAGATGCGATGGGAGAAAAAGCTAATGAACACACTGTCCACACTTTTTGCCTCACATGCTGATGATCTATGGGATACTCTGTGTTAGAACACCCTATTGGTATACAGGTTCTGGTGGCATTGGTCTGAAAAATTCCCAGCGGAGTTTAGTATCCATATGTGAACAAAGATGTGAATGACTAGAAGTAAGAAATCCCTGCCAGCTCACCAAATGAAACAAGGTGAGAATCTTGTTATTCTAGAACTGGGGCAGGAGGTGGGGCATGAACTCTAGACCTTGGCACCTCTATGAGGATAGTGGAGTGTGTTTTGTTTTGTTTTTGTTTTTGTAATTGCCACCAGAATGTGTGCACTTATTAGAGACAGAAAGAGAAGGGGGAAAGATTCTTATAATGGAACATGGTCATGCCACATTCTCTTCTCTATTTCTGTAGCCTGTTATGATGCTGGACACACATATACACATGTTCAATGTGTTTGTCAAGCCACCAGGGGCAGGTTTTTGAACCATGGCTGTCCATGTGGTTTCTAGCTCCCTTAACCAGCAGGCTATGGCGCCAGCTCAATAATAGTATTCGATTGTTCTACGTTCGTGTTTGTTTATTCATTCAATAAATAAATATTGTATAATTGTCCAGGAGTGGGAGTGGTGGAAGCATTGAGAAGTAGTCAGATTCTGTGGCTGTGTTTTGAAGGTGATCCAACAGGGTTTTGTTAAGAGATCAGATGGTTTGACAGTCCCATGGCAATCAGGATACTTTCACACTATAGCCACACTTTCCTGTTGATGAAATCAATGCATGGTTTCTAGGTAAGCAATCTTATAACAATTTTTTTAATGAAGCCAAAAGAATTGGGAAGAGTGATTTTGTATTTTTATTATTAACAACATGATATGCCAGGAAGTGTTAGTATCAGCTAGTGAATGAACAATGAAACAAACTAGGACCCCTGTTATGCTGCAACAGCTCTAGAGCAGGAATTAGTAAGCCCATATCCAGACCACTGTTTTTGTAAATAAAGTTTTATTAAAACATGACCATGCATGTTTGTTTTGCATTGTTTCATGGCTGTTTTCGTGCTATAATAGAAGAGTTGAGTAATAGGGGCAGAGAC